CATCACTCCCATGTTCTCGTACCTCTTCCATTAATACTATTGCAAGGGGTTCTACCAAAAGGGGGTCAAATTTAGGCCTGGTTTTCTTGGCATTCTTGGTAGTCGTCGCACGATAAGGTCAATGATACATTTTCAAAGAGCAGAGGGCTATCACCACAAGCCACGAGAAGTTTCTTTGTTGCAACCAAACCGTGAACCTTCTATGCGCCAAGCACCCCAAAAGGAAAATCGTTGATGAGATAACATCCGGAATGTTTCTTTTAGCTTCGAACTCCTTCCAAAGCTGGGAAATAGATCCCTGACCCACCGCCTTCTCAAAAGGATACATGCTTTTTGGAACTCCTAAAAAATCTCTGCCCCAAATCTCCCCGCCCTCCTTGGGACTTGAGTCCGCCGACTTCTCAGTGTAAAAGCTGGGTCTATTGTCTATTATCAATGCTGGACCCGCAATATCAAACAAATCATCATGATCCTTCACTGTAGAGGCATTAAGAATTTTCGGTTCGCCAAGTTCCGTAACCGAAGCAAATATTGGCAAAACCCTGTCGTATTGTCCGGGAATTTGCCAATAGGGACCCATCATTTAGGCACCTTCGGAAACTGTCTATAATTCAAATTTTGAGAATTGAAACATTGATTATTTCTCCTGAAATATCGCCTCTCAATCCGACGAAACCTTTGCTCGCCGGAATTTCTATTACCATTTTCCACTTTCAAAATTTTCGGCAAAGGTTCAGCCTTTGAATGAAGCTAGGAATGATTCACCACATGTTGGACCTTGATCATAGATATCGCCTGCCCATTATCGTTGGTAATCAAGATAGAAAAGCAATCCTCTGCAATGTGTAACCAGATTTTCTATGGGATTTGCACACCCGAGGTTTCCCATATCTTCATGTGCATAGATTTACAAATTGGACTCAAGAACGAATCCCAATCTAAATCACAATAGTCACCGAAACTTTCAGCCACATGTTTGATGACCTGTAGGTTCCAAGCATGTAAAGGGATTCCCCAAAGTTTAATCCAAGACGAATTCGTCTAGATAAAAGATGCATGGTCTGAGGGTTTCCAAGTGTCAAAGGAAAGAAGACAACGACGCACTTTGCAAAACCTATGCATCAAAGCCTTCCGAACCTCATCCGAAGACCGTAATTTAAAAACAATCTTATTTTCTCCATTAACCTTTATATTAGGAAGATACGACAAGGCCCAGCCTCTCTGGGCCCAGTCAAAAAGGCCAAAAAAATCTTTTAAAGGAGGTGAGAAAGAACCTGTAACAAATAATTTTTTCTTGTTTAAACATTTTTCCACCTCCGATCGCTCTACTACAATCTTCGAACATGATAACCCCGAAGTAGACTCGATCTCTCTTATGCGAAAGGCATCTGGCCCCTCCTTTACACCCTTCATCATCTCAATAGAAGAGCTGCTTCTTCTCCACCACCCACCGTCTCTCAAACCGCTATCAGTTCTCTCTCTGTCTTTAAGAAATCCTCATCTCTCTCTCTCTCTCTCTCTC